TTTTCCTTCATTTTGAATAAATTAAAGTTTCCATGATCTAGTAGAATTTGGACATAGCAATTGATAAAATGTACTATTTGAGATATTTTTTTCCGAATGGCTATGGATCCATACCATACTTTAATTACTTTGTAGTATCATTACTTTACAAGAACCCAGCATTAAAACCCCTCATCTGCTTCAACACTACAGTTGCAATTGTATTATGTCAGAAAAATCTTCTTATCATACACAAATTTGTGCCATCTCTCCTAGTAGTTTTAGTTAATCATATGATTTTTGACTTGTTCATTGACTTAATGTGATATTTTAAATTAATTCACTACAATATAAAAGAGGCTAACAAAAGTAAAATGTTCATACCTTGTTCTTACTTTATTCTCTTTATCATCTGTAGTTTAAAAAAATTAAAAATTTTATCCTTCATAAATATAGTTGGGGCATATCATCTACTTTATTGTAAAAAAGTACGAGTATTGCACTATAAATATGCCCACAAATATTTTTCCACTAAGAGTCCAATGTTCATGTTGTACAAAGTATGTCTTATAAATGGAATTTTCATCCCTACATGAAGTGTATCGTTATAGTTGTACCTTTCATGTGTACTTAATGTTGACAATCTGATTTTTCTTTTCAACATATGAATATTTGAGAACTAAAATCACCGTGACTATAATTTTAGCTTATTACGTTCTTTCTTATAATTTGCTCTATTGTTTTTTTCCTTTTGTTTTCATTTTTATTCAACTGACATTTAATTGCTCATGCTTTTACCCTTGTCAAATATAACCATTTTGGTTAGTATCTAATTATGATGCTATGAAGAATACAATTGCAGCGAGAATTTAAATACAATGAATACAAAATTTTCATATCGAAAATATAAAATATACAAATATATGAAAAAAATAAGTCAATTTTGATCAACTTATGAATATCTTCTATGTTTATAAATGAATTTCTCTAAAATTTACATTTACTTATTCTCAACATTAACCAATAAACGTGCAAAGCATATTCACCCCACTAGTATCCTTAAAGTTAAGCAATTTGTACATTAAAAGTGTACATTACTTTGACATCATTTAAGTTGGCATGATATGATGGGTGAAAAAATGGTTTTTTTTTTTAAATTTTTCAATAACATATTGTAACGTGATACGATGTAAAGAGTGATGTACATGTAGCATGATTATTGATATAATAAAAAAACTCTATCTATTTTCTGAATTTGGCTTCTACAATATGTGAGAAAGTATTTGATGCAACTAGAAGTGATAAACTAGCTATAACGGTGAACTCGGCTAAAAACTGATTGATTATGAGAATGCCTACAAGTTTGAAATTAAGAGCCTATTTGGTGTTGATGATGAGAATTGATTTTTTTACCGTTACTTTGAAATGTGGGTCCTACCTATAAATGAAGAGGTAAAAAATGACGATTGACTATGGTAACTAACGATAAAAAATTGTTTTTAAACTTGAAAAATCAAAGCCAAACGAGGGCTAAATTTTTATTGATTTACCTGAAATAATGAATGTTGATTACAAGAATGATCAAAATTAAATCACTATTTTACTACCATTAAAATAAAACTCTCTTTTTCTTTTCTTTCTTTCTTTCTTTCGTTCTTTTTTTTTTTCCCATTTATACCCTCAAATTCATTTTTAACCATACATTCTCACAATAAAAGAATAATACTATCTAGTAGGGCTAGAAAACGAAACCGTCAAACCATAAAATCAAACCAAAATCTTTTTATTTTTTGAAACGTTGGCTCGTGTCCACGTGAATTTGTCAAAGTTTTGGTTTTGAACCAAACCAAACCGCATTGAAGTGGCTTGGTTTAGATTTCGATCTTTGTAACCGTTTCAAATCGTCAAGTTATTTTCCAAAAAATTCTATAAGTAAATAAATTTTATCCAACACAATTAAAACTAACTCACATTCTAGTTAAAAAAGATACGTTCATATTGACTTCCCAATTAAAGTCAATACCAAAATAGACAATTATTCATCTCAATTAGTTAATTAAATCATACACACATATCCATTGGTCATCATAATTGTTAATGCAAAACTTTCAAATTACACATATCCATTGGTCATCATAAAGTGTTGAACAACTACTACTAAACAATATACATCGACTGACCATTACAATTGTGTAGATAATTTAATCTAGATTTTAATCTAAACTCATACATTTATTTCCCTTTTACTAGTAATTTTCTCAAATTCCAAAAAATCTCAAGTCAGTTTATCTAATTTTTCTTATTTTTTTGATAATTTTTGCTATGTTTTATTGCTAGTTGTGTTGTTTTGCTTCAATTTGTGTCGGGCTCCCTTGAGTTTTTAGAGGACAATTTTTCAGTCAGGTAATTCAATTAATTATTTATATTTAATTTAGTTTATAGATTTTATTATTAGTTGCTAAAAATGATTAGGTGGATTACTTAAATGGTAAATTTGAAGATTTGACCATTGAGTCTTTTACACATTATTTTGATGGAAATTGAATACAAATAAGTACAACATTTTCACCCAAATTTTCAAAAATGTATTAGCTATTTAAATACCCACAATTATTTGGGTTTGGATTTCCTATTAGTGATCGAATTCTCGATTCCTTTATAAGTTCATTAGTGCAAATTTGGATGATGTTGTAATTTGCCATAAAAATTGGTTGTATAGCAACGAGGAACCTATAGCGATTCCTTAATATTTGGTTGAAACAGAAGCGTTGACTGATTTGCAAAAAAGTATAGAAGTTATTATTATATTTGATCTTTTTATTAATTTTATTTCATTAGTTATTTTATATCATTTAACTATAATAAATGAATTCATATACTATATTCTTATATTTATGAAGATAACGAATCATATGTTACTATTGCACATGTTACCCCAATTAGCATCGATTAATATGTTAAAATGTTTCTATCATGTTGTTGTATTGTAATGATTAAAATTTAAAACTTTTGCTCGTAACATGTTTAATGATACTTTATATGTTTTAATGTGAAATTATAGATTAATATTTATAATTCAACTTATTCAATATATGATTCAACTTTTTTTTTTTTTTTTTTTTGGCTAAACTGTGGTTTTAAATCGATCCAAATAAAAAATATGGTTAGAATTGGTTTGGTTTGACAAATCATCCGAATTGAATCGTGTTCACAACTACTATCTAGCAGTAGTGGCGTTAGAGTACAAGTTTATGCGACACAATGTTATATGTCAATTGAAGGTGAGATTAGGTGATTAATTTAATCGGCCATGCTAACGGTACATCGGGGTGTACATCACGGTGTACACCCCCCTCACATGGGTGGGGGGTCCACTCGAATATTTTATTCGAGTGGGTCCCCCCATGTGAGAGGATGTACACCTTGATGTACAAAAGTTGATGTACCACTAGCATTTTTCTTAATTTAATTGTACCTCTCATTTAATGACACTTAGTATCATATATACTGATGTTGTCAGACTAGAGGTATTATATTATGTGCGGAAGCCCCAAATTTTTCCTACTTTTAACCATATATTCTTGAAAAAAAAAAATCACTATTTTAAAACTCATTTTTCTCAAAAAATTTCATTTTAATGGTTGTAAAATAGAGGCTAAATTTATCTTATTAAAAAGAAGAACGACAAAAAATCATTTAAAATCTAACTTCTGAAAACAAAAACTAAACAGAAAACCATAAGCAACAGAAACTTAATCCCCATTCCCCTAGTAATTTAAACATATGAAATAAGTTATCTTCACTAAAAATATATAAAAGTAAATGTAGACTAGAACAAAAGTGCCTTTTTTGATCTCGTGCATTTTCAAAAAAGTCTTTATTTATAAAGAGCACTTTATGTATTATAGAAAAAGTATCTTTAAATTTAGAGTCACAATTTTTATACACCCCAACAAAATGGATTTCTTTTCATTTTGCTTTTCTCAGGTTTATTGACTTCTCTTTATATTTTATTTAACATAATTTTTTATATGTCAATTAATCAATCAATTTAGTCCCCGTTTGATTCCCATTCTTTTCGAATTTTAATGATTGAAATAGTATTTTTTTGAAAAATATATGGTTGAAAAAGAATGAAAAATTTTCGATGTAAAAATTTTCGATGTGCATATAATATTAATTTATGAAATATTATGTGATTGAAAATAAGAGAGAAAAAGAATGAGAAAGGGAATGAGGACCAAACGAGGGGTTTAATGTGATTTGAATAGTTTAAAAAGTAAATTATTAAAATATGTGATTCGTTAAATGCAATCATTCTACATTAAGAATAGATAATGAGTTTGAGCCAAACCCACTATAAGCTCCTGTTTGGCCTCTATTAAATTTCATTTCAGTACATATTATTTTACTTTCTCCTATTTTCAACCACACAGTTTTCCATAAAATAATATTACACGTAAACAGAATTTTTTCCCTTCTTTTTTCATCTACTCATTTTTCAAAAAAAATATTATCCCTTCCATTTTCATTTTCAAAAATTGGGTGCCAAACGGGGGATAAGTTAAAATAAATAGCTTCTTGGAGTTCATTTTTAAGTAATGACTCTTTCAAATATTGAGTATTTTGTACATAGATAGTTTCTTGAAAATGTCCAAAACTTGGCCCACAAACAAGTGAACCAGAGGGCATTAACCTATGCGCCACCTCGACCCCTGAATTGATGGTGGCGGGCCCCATGTGATTCAAGATCAACGGCCAAAGTGTTGCCACCTCGGCCTTGAAGCCAAACCCGGGATTTAATCCCAGGTTGTGTAGCAGAATTGTTCAAATAGTTGACATTAGAAGAATTTTGAATGCAACACATCGGCCTAGAGCCAAACCCGTGATTTAATCCCTGGTTGTGTAGCAGAATTGTACAAATAGTTAACATTAGTGGATTCTGAATGTTCACAGAATGATGCTGTACATTGCATGCCAGCATTTTACAGAAAAAAAAAAAAAGGAAAAAACAAGCTACAGATTCGCACAATATACGTTTCATATTGATACTTAGTCAAGTTGTTCTACTACGTACAGCTCGAGTTTTCAAGTTCAAAATATGCCTCATTCTGATACTACTTCTACAGTTCTACTACTTACATGATACTGCTCGAGTTTTCGGGTTCAGTAGACCGGAGTCTCATCGCTTCAATATACATCTCTTATTGAGGTTTCTACTATATATACCACTCGAGTTTTCACTTCAGTGGATGGGAGTCACATATCTTCTTACACATAGGATCGAATCACTACTATGATAAAATGCATAAAATCTTCGCATAAACTTGATACGGCCAAATTACCTTACCCCAAATCAATCACATGATCCAAAAGAGAATCAATGTCTGGAGTTAAAACGGCACGCTTGCTGAATTCGCCCAGCTCACAACAATGTTGATCAACGGTGTTGACAGCAACAACATTTTGAGCAAAAGTACAATCAGAACCCGGAGAAACCTGAACATCATTACAATCTGCCATTAATATCAGAACACATGGAATATATGACTAGTTTGAACCCACTAATTAACTTTTCTTCGTAGAAAATCTTCAAACAATTAATTCTCGGAGCACAAGTGAAATGGCAATTCTTGTAGAGAAATATAGAATTCATAACACGAAAAATGCAAGGTAAATATGACTCACATCATATAGAACATCTCCCATCTTCAACTTAACCGCGCCACTTCTGTACACCAACATTTTGCCCATATATCCCTCTGGCAACTCTTCCAAACTACATCCTTTTCTTGAACCATATGAACTCCCGGGGTACGTCGAGCTCCCCATAATCTCTTTTCCCTTCATACCAGTAGAATTCCCTGCAACCCCAGGGACATTGCCAGCTGTCACGTTCTGATTGGTCTCTGAAATCGTGGAAGATTTTAAGTGATCAGCTGTTTCTCTCCTACTTACAGTATCAGGCCGCTTGGCGAAGGGAAGATTAGGAGGAAACTGAAGAAAAAGCATCTGTGATTGATCGGCTTTCTCCTGTTGATCAAAGGGCACTAAGCTGTAATCGAAGACTAACCAATCAAATGCCCATGAGTGTATATTACATGTTACTATATTAAATATTGAAAACTAGATTACCAACCAGCAAGCCAAGATCTGAAGCAGAAGTAGTAGCATTCTCATCATACTCCAATTTTGCTGCAGCTTTTCCAAATTCTGCTTCATCATGAATTTCTGCATTGAGAAGAAAAGAAAGGAAGTCAGTTTTCACGACATTGTATGAAAAAACAAAATGGCAAAATTACAATTGTAGACGCCTTGGGTGTTTGGAAGTCAAAGGGTTCAATGATGAAGTAATGGTTTGAAATTAACAATTCTACTACCTTGATAGAAGATTACATGTCTTAGAAGCAACACTCAATTATTTTTATCAGATACTTAAAGCTATTTTGTTCAGATTCTTTATTCTCAATCAGACACCTTGCAGTGTTTGCATGACATCGATATTATTTTGTGCTATTTAAAACTTCATGGCATCACCAATTCTTTCTGCCAGAACAAAATTTTCTTTCATGTTCTATTTTTAACAAATAAAGCCCCTATTTGGCCCCGATTTTTTAAAACTCAATTTTCCTCGAACTCATATTCAACCACGCATTTTTCAAAACGAGTAATTTTTATTAACTTTTCAACCATAGCTCTTATTTTTAGCCAGACCAAACTGGGGCAAAAAGCACAGGTCATGCCAAGAATGAACTTTCTGCATCATTTATAAGAGATAGATATTGGAAAGCTTTCCATTCCGGGAATACCTGGATCTCCTGAATAAGGCCGCCTCAAAGGAAGAGTAATGGGATAATAACTATGATCGTAATCCTGCATAAAGCGTCACAAAATACAATAGTCAGTCACGTGTGTATTTCCTTGGGGTTGTAGATACGTGGACAAATGTCCCACATCAGCTGGCCAAGCAAATTATTTTTGTGTTTATAAGAAAACTGGTTATCCCAACAGGTTAACCTTTGGAACCAACCAGGGTTCGGGTTTGAGGGAATGTATTGAAATATATATTACCCAAGGCTCTCTGTATTCTCCTTTTTTCTTCGAAATTGAACTGCTGGTCGAATCTGTAAAATCTTCACAAATTTCTGCATCCGTCAGCTGCATATTGTTTGGGATCTCCGTGCCATCAGAAGCCAAATCTCTCAATCCTGTAACATTGCCTTGATCATCCTTCCTTTCCCTCTGCTTGCCAAAAGACCTTATGGAATTTGATGCAACTCCATGTGAAAATGCAACTTGCACTGAAGCTGTTGTATTCAAATCAAAGTAATTATTAAGTTATTAAAATTTCATAAGCAAGAGAACCAAATACAATTAAAAGTAATTGCTTTACTTTTTTAAGATCAATCAAACATGCACTTCGCCAAAGTTACGTTTCGAATTATTTAGATAGATAGATTGCATTTTGTATCTCAATTCATGTTTGTAAAGGGCATGTTATCAAAACACGACTTGAAATACAAATACAAGACTTCATAAAAATAACTCAAAATTATGGCTTATACTTAATTAAGACTTGAGGTTCCATTTTAAAAGATCAACTTAGTAAGAGGGGTACTAAAAACCCATATATGATGGTTTATATTTCAGTATTTAATCGATGCGTGATTTATCCCTTAATACATCAAAATGAATTAATCATGTAATGGAAGTTTAGTGCAAATGGAACTTACACTTCTTTTCGGCTCTGGGTCGCCGTCTTGTCAAGTGCTCCTATGTATATATGAAAACGAAATACAATGAAAAAATTATTAGATACCACAACTCCATGAGAAAATAAATAAAGTATACAGTTACAACAAAAATCAACTTCTTATAATGCATTAAAGAACATAATTTCCAATAAAATTTGAAAAGTAACTATCATTAGTACTTATTTCACAACAAAGGGCTTCTTTAATGATCGTGTAAAATTGAGTATAAATTGGTATCTCCAAAATCTTTTACATCTCGATAAATCTAATTTCAAATTTTGCTCCAATGAAAAAATCTAAATTCTGTCCAAAAGTGCAATTTGAATTTCTTTTGCATCTCTACATTAGAGAGGCGTCCAACCTTTTTGAGGACCTAAATATAATTTAAATCTATTTTACACTATTACTGAAGATGTACCACAAGTAGCAAGTCAAATAGCACACAAATATTTAGCTCCTGTTTGTCATCCTTTAAAAATTTAAATCGTTTGCTACAGTATCATTCTCCGTCATACATTCACATAATAAAACATTTAACACATAAACTTATAAAGTTTCCTTACTTTTTTAATTACACATTCTCCAAAAAAATACTATTTAATAATTTATTATTTTCAAATAAATTCTATCAAACGGACCTTAACTACACTTAGAAACGTGTGAAAATTATTTTGAAATTTACCCAACATGATTTTTAAATCTATTTTGTACAATAAAAATAGCTTTTAAAAATTAAGGAAAGTCACTATTGAACTAGAACTTCATTTCCCTCATTGGTGTCCACGTCGAAAATCCAAACCAACAATATATAGAAATAGATAAAGAGATTACGTTCACCCGGCGTAGGAGAGCTTTATCTTCGCGGCTATCACTTCCGTCATCAACTTCTTCTCTGCAATTTTAAACCGTAATTAATTACATAATTTTGACTCAAAGCATCATAAAATTTAGCGAAAAAAATGTTTATTGTACATCTTCGGTTCGATCTGTCTAGCTGGTTTGCGAGGAGGTCCTTTAGGAGCAAATTTAACCTGGAATAATATCGAAAAGTAAGGGCTCAGCTTAACGATATAAAAAAAATGTTTGACGGAAAATTAAAGCGAAATTTTAGGGGAGAAAGTTGAAGATGATGTCCAGACCTTTCTCGGACTTGAAGACGGTGGATCTAGATCCATAGAATGAATGAACGAAAATTGTAGAAGAGGTTTTCTGCAAAATCAAGGGTTAGGGTTTTCTGCTGAAGAAGACGAAGACGAAACGAAAATAGAAGTAAAAGAAAATGGAGATGGATAGGAATCGAACTGCCAACCCCAAAGAGAATACTTCTGAAACTTAACCACTATTGCAAACGCTGCTTTATGTTGGCGGTTCGAGTTTTATATACTTGACTTAGACGAGTTTTCACAATACTCAAATTCTCATTGAACTTTAAATTTTTTTTTTTAAAAATAATTACTGTAGTATTTTTTACCCGTCGTTCATCTTCTTTTGTTTGAAAATTAACTATTCCAATAACGTGATAAAAAAATCAATAATATTTTGACCGGTCCGATATGAGACGACGTTAAACGTACAATGATTATTGAAACAACTTTGAAGAACAATGACTTTTGGGAAAACTTTTAGAGTGATTTTGGAAAACAACTTATTAGTATAGTGACTATTGAAAAATAACATAAAGTATTGTGATTATTGAGATTTTTTTTTTTCCACATTTAACCCTCGGGCTTGAAAGAGACTTGTTATTTCAACATATTTGACTGTAACAAATGTCATACTTGTGTGCCCCCATTTTTTTTTTTTTTTTAAAAAATTTTTTTTTTTTTGCCCCCCTTTTTTTTTTTTTTTTCAAGAAAATAGATCTTTTTTTTTTTTTTTTTTTGGTTTAAAAAGCTCTTATAGCCAAGAAAAACACTTAGGGATATAATTTGTTTTCATTGCACCAAAAAAAAAAAAAATACCTAGAAAACCAAGAAAATGTAGAAAACCAAGATAGAGAATTCTATGGAATTGTTAGGCTATCAAACATGACAAAAAGTGGCAGTTGGAAAACGAATTTCATTTTCCATGAAATTTGGGTGCTTATCAAACAGGTCCTTTTTGTGTATTTGATATGTTTTATTTTTCATGGAATTCTATTTTCTTAGTTGTATTGGGAATTCGTATTTTCTTGGTATTGGTGGGAATTGGTTTTCCAACCTACCGTTCACCTCTTTTTCTTTTTTGGCAATGGAAACAAATTCTCTTTAAGGTCAAATGAACATCAAAATATATATGATTTTCTTGATTTTTTTTATTTTTTTATTTTTTGCAATAGAAACAAATTCTATCACCAATACCAATAAATTTGATTCCTTTAATTAACAATTTTCATGTAAAATAAAGCCAAACGAACCCCAAAAAATATTTTTATTTCAACATTTTCCACGTAAAAAATTGTATCAATCAAATACAAAAATTAACAATTCCAAGGAAAACAATTTCAATGCAATTCAATTCCCTGGAATTCATTTTCTTTTCATCCAAATTCCATATTTGCAATCAAACGGACCCTAAGGCCATGACTGATAGGACAGGAATTCCATGGAATTTGGAAAATATTTGAACATTTTCTACCTTTTTGATGTTTGATACCACAAAATTTTCCATGGAATTCATTTTCTTGGTTTGGATGCCAACCTAGACATTTTCCTAGTTTTTTGATGAAACTACTGCAGCAGTTTTTTTATTATTATTATTATTTTGGTTGCAATGGAAATAAATTTTAAGAATTATTATAAAAAAAAAATTTCCCTTTAATTAACAATTTTCATGTAAAATAAAGGTAAACGAACACTAAAAAATAGATGATTTTCTTAAATTTCTTGATTTCTTTTTTTTTTTTTTTTGGCAATAGAAACAAATTTCATTCCCAATACTAGTAAAATCTATCACTTTAATTGACAATTTTCATATAAAATAAAGTCAAATGAACAGTAAAAAACACTTTTATTTCAACATTTTTTACGTGAAAAATTATATCAATCAAACACAATAATTTACATTTCACAGGAAAATAATTTCTAAGCAATTCAATTTCCTGAAATTCATTTTCAATTCAATTCAATTTTATTTTTGCAATCAAACGGACCCTAATTGTAAAAAAAATATTTTCCTTTAATTGACAATTTTCATGTAAAACAAAAGCCAAACGAACACAAAAAAATAGATGATTTTTTTAACTTTCTTTTGGCAATGAAAACAAATTGTATCCCCAATGCCAGTAAATTATTATATCCCTTTAATTGACAATTTTCATATAAAACAAAATCAAACAAATACCAAAAAATACTTTTATTTCAACACATTAATTGACAATTCACCGGAAAATAATTTCTAGACAATTCAATTAATTGGAATTCGTTTTCTTTCCATCCAAATTCTATCTTTACAAATAAACAGACCCTTAAATTGGAAAAAATTGAAATTCGAATTCCATTTTCCATGGAATTCGAACCAATCAAACAGGCTATTAGGGATAGAATTTGTTTTCATTGCCCAAAAAAAATTTTAAAAAAAAAAAGTCAACAATACCTATAAAACCAAGAAAATGTAGCAAACCAAGAAAACCAAGATAGAAAATTCCATGGAATTGTTAGGCTATCAAACATGACAAAAAGTGGAAGTGGAAAAACGAATTCCATTTTCCATGGAATTTGGGTGCCTATCAAACACAGAAAATTATTCAAATGTGTATAAAAAATGTGTATAAAAGCAATTTTTTAGACTCGAAAATAGCTTTTTTGCTTTTCAAAACACCTGCCAACTGGATCTTAAGTTAATAATGAGTTTCACATCAAATTAATACATCTTTTAACTGGAATATTTTAACTTCACTTCTTATGAAGTTGATAAATAAACTATTCATATATATTCCTTCAAATTCTCATAACAACCTTTCTAATTTTCATATTTGTTGGACAAGGTCACATCTAGTCTATCTTAATGGGGTTGAGCTATTTAGACATATACACATTTGATTTATTCTACATATATAAAAGAGCGAAAGAAATGCCGAGACATGTGTTGCAAATATGTGTCGTCCTCCACCAATTTCCCTTTTTCTAAAACGATGTAGTGTATGGGGCCCATTGGAGGGAAAGGTGAGGCAGTCTCTTACCCATTTGTCCGGTTTGTCCATTCTCTCACTTAACTTGCCACCCCAACACTCCTTTTTTTTCTTGTTCTTCTTTTCTTTCTCGATAAATTCGAATCTGCCAAAGTTGGGACTAGGTAAATTCTTGTGTTGTCAAATCTTCAAAAGAAATGACCTAAATTGCGTGAGAGAATCATATGAGAATGAACATTTTAGGAAGAATGGAGTTTTGTGCTACAGATCAAACGTTCTGTCTTGTTGCAGTTTTTTAGGTAGGTAGATGAAGATCATTTATTGTGTCAGGTTATTATGGTATGTGAAAGTTTAAGCTTATGCCTTCAATTGTGTTTGTTCCTTAAATTTTCCTTAGCTTTCATTTGATTTGAGAAAGTCCGATTTCGTTTCGTCTGACTGTTTAAAAATTTGTTGAATTTGTACTTGACAATTAAACCACATCAGGTTGTACTCATCTTCTTCATTGAGTTTTCTCTCTTTCTTGGAGTAATTTATCTAACTTATGTTATTTGTATTCTTCTTCTTCATGGTTCATTTCTTAAAACATGTACTTTTGAATTTTATTTATATGGTCGAAAGGGAGTATTAGAACTAAAAATTAGATTTTAATCCCTATCAAACAGAGCTAAATAGTATTTTCATTCCAAAATTGACATAACATGTTTAAAAATAACCTGAGAAGCAGATTGCCAGATTTATGAATATGGGTTGAAATGTTTGGGTAATGGTTGCGATAGTTTCAATGCCGTAAGATCTTGTAACTCTTTCATGTAGCCTCCTATTTTCTTTTGTTAGTATTTCACAGAATTATGCAAGAATTCATAGATCATGGATTGCTCAGATTAATTCTAATTATTCTAGTTATATCGAATGTCACTATTCAAATTTCTTTGTTGTTTCTGGATTTCTTAAAGATGCAATATGATATATACAAACATATTATTGAAGAAGATAAATTTTTTAGTGCTTTCCATGGGTTAAAAAAGATGAAGTAGTACTATAGACAAATCAGCAAATTGGTCATTTGAAATAGAAAGATATATATAGAAAAGGCTCTCTATGTAGAGAGACCGCGTTCCGCGCAAAGGGAGAGTGATGTGTGCAATCACCGTCCTGCCTCTCTACACAGAAAAGGCTCTCTATGTAGAGAGACCGCGTTCCGCGCAAAGGGAGAGTGATGTGTGCAATCACCGTCCTGCCTCTCCACACTGTGTAGAGAGGCATTGCACTCTTTGTGCTGCGCTGCGCTGAGAGAGGCACTCTCTACGCAGCTCTGATTTTTTCTTTTTTATCTTTTCTTTAAGCTAAGAATTCCAATTTTCCAATTATTGAATAAATTTTGGGTTTGTCTATTTTTTTATGAAATTTTAGTCAAATTTGATTAGAAATGGACTAAATGAACAAGACCAAACAGCTTTAGCTATTGATGTATGGTCAATTTTGGGCAAGTTCATTTGTTTAGGTCTTCGTTTATTTGTTTTTTTCTTTTTTCTTTTTGGTAAATTTTGTTTTGGTTATATCTCAATCAATTTAAGTCGGATTTGAATGTTGTTTGTCAGAAGATAATCCTTAAGAGTATGACTCTCAATTTTAGTCGTTCTCTTTATTTTTTTATTTTTGGAAAAAAAAATACTTTTTTATTTTTTTTCAATTTGTACGAATTTTCTTAGGTTTTCACTATATAAAGTATTGTAAGCTCTTTGTGCCGCATTGATTGATAGAAATAAAATTTTTCGTGAATTTTTTTCACCTTGTGAGATTTACGACAGCGACCCAAAAGGATCAAAGGATGAAGAATGAAATCAAAAGAGAAACTGTAAGTGTGTATTGTGGGGAAGAGAGAGTGAATTTACCACATGGATATAATCTTGGATAAATAAAAAATTCTTCTCACTTTCCGATTGGAATAAAATGGAAATGATTGAGACATGGGATGTGAATAATGGAGATAAACTTGAGGAGTTGAAAGGGGGAGAAGAAAGAGCATTAAGGTCATTGTTGAAGACTCTTGAAGAGGTTGAACATTTTTATGATTGCATTGAAGGAATCATTGGATCTATTTTCATTATTATTCTCAATTTCTTATTTTTCTAATCAATTTTATTGGTTTGTTTCATTACATGGTGAATTCTTTTTTTTTTTTTTATTATATATGTCAAA